TGGCGGCGCGGGGAGGCGCTGGCCAGCACCAGGCGCCGCTGCTGCAGCCGCTGGAGCACCGGGCTGAGCGCCATGACGCGTAGAGGGGACTGAGCGGCCGCCAGGCCCGGGCCCTTCAAGCCCCGCCCCACGGTAAGCCACGCCCACCCCATCCGCATGCGCATTATACGCACCGACACTGCCGCCGAGGCCCGCCCCCCACGTCTAAACCTGTCCGGCGAAGCCACGCCCGTCCTTCTCCGCATGCGCGGTTAATGTTTCAAAATGGCCATAAGAGCCGCTCCCCCTACAGGCCACGCCTCCAACGTAGGAGTGGACGCAACGCGGCTGAGGCGTCCAGTCCATGCTCTCGTCCGACCCGGAATTACCCGGCCGTTGCCTAGGCAACACCCTTGCCACTCGCAAACTCGTCCGGGTCCCTCGCGCATGCGCATATACTCCGGAAGGAATTGGCCGCGGAAGCACCGCCCCCTACAGGCTTCGCTGAGTGAATATACGGTCCGACAGGAAAAACAGCGCTCCGGACCGACGCATGCGCGTAGCTTCCGCGGCAACATGGCCTCCGGAGTCCCTTTACATCGGCTTCGGCGAACGAACACAAAACCGGAGACTAAAGAAACAAGACCGGAGTCTCGCGCATGCGCACAGCTACTTCGCAAGATGGCCGCCGAAGACCCGCCCCTTCCTGCTGAAACACCTCCCTGTGGGCAGCCTCGCTCCGACCTCTGCGCCTGCGCACAAGTGCTGCAGGAAGCAGAGGCGGGTTTGTCCTCTCAATGTCCCGCCTCTTCCGCACGCCGCTTCCCCCTTCCCAGGCGCCTGCGCACAACAGCTGCCATGGAAACGGCCGGCCGGCGCCTCGCCCCCAGAAGCGGCTTGTCTGCTTTGCGCATGTGCAGTGGTGTTTGCGCGTCGAAGCTGAAGCCCTGCCCCTCCTCGGCCGGTTCCCGAAAGGCGCATGCGCAGATCAGTTGGCGCGCCGCCGTCGAAGCCCCGCCCTCCCCGCAAGGCTCCCTCCCCCCGCTGCTTGGCCCCGCCCACAGCGCTTGAGGCGCGTTGTCAAGGCCTTCCCGCGTTGCTAAGGAGCTGAGGCGGGTCTAAAGTTCACTTGCGCGGCGAGCTCGGGGACCAAGAGCCCGCAGGGCGGCGCAGGGGGTTCGCGACGGACGGACGGCGTCGCTGTGGCCCCGCGGGGACAAGCGCGCAGATGGGGGGACTCGCGGGGAGCGCGGGCGCCGGGCCTCGGCTCGCCACAGTGCCCGGATGCAGGCCGGCACCCACGGCGGTCGCCCGTGGTTCTGACTACGTTACACACGTCAGACACGTCATCGGGGTTCGTGTGCAAAGTGTCAACTGCATGGAAAAATTGTAAATGATATGCAGGACACGGGGAAGCATCATATAAAGTATGGTGCACGGGTGGAGCACGTGAAGCTTGCAGAATGTGCCCTTGTAAACTGCATGTAAATCAGTGATTCGCTTATCATGCAGTTGGTGTCCTATAAAATGTCTCATGGAATGCAAAATTGTATGTAGTGTATGAAGGTTGTCTAGGATTTGAAGGATGTCTGAATTATAAACTATCAACAAAATATACATTTGCATGTAAAATGATTATATGTGACTCACATGATGGCAAATTACACATTACATATAGTTTAAATGTAAGAAATAGTGTGCATGTTTTATGTGGAGTTTACATGATATGACATTCATATATATAAAAAATGATAAAAATAATTTCAGACACATTATAGACAATAATGTATATGTGATGTGACAGACATGTATTATAAAGGATAAAAAATTCTGGTATGATATACGTTGTGACATTCTATGAATTGCTGTTTCATTGTGACAGACGGCTTGGTATGTTAGACTGTGAATGCAGGAATTGTTTCCACCGACTGTCTGTCAGCTGATGCTCGGCAGTACAGCCTGCCACCGCCAGGGAGCACACGTGTTCCACTCAAGTTGACCACGATGGCGATCAGGACAGCCGTAGCCAGAATTTCCGGTTCACCGAGTGGTTGGTGGATGTTGTGGGTGGGGGGTGGGGGGGGGGGGGGTGAGCTGATGTGTCGTAGGGAGAACACACAACTGGGGAGGCAGGTTCACGTGAGATCAGCCATGGTTGCATGTTTTCAAGGTCAGGCATCCCGTCCGGAAAGAGAAACAAGTACTGTTCACGGGAACCCTGTGACAGTGGGTCCTTGAAGGCTGCACGTGAGCCATGAGGCGTGTCCACATGCAGTCTGCGAGACACGTGTCTGTCATCTGCATGCGTTTCCATCTCTCACGTGTCTGTCATGCATCATCTGTCTATATTTCTGTGCATCCGTCCATCCATCTCTCCGTCCACGCATCCGCCCATCTGTCAGTCAACCAGTCTGCCATGTGTCTTCATATCTACCCGTCCAGCTACCCATCATCCGTTTACCTATGTTATCTGATATGCTGTCACCAGTCCACGTATGCATTCGCCTGTGCACCATCTGTGTATTTCTGTGCGTCCATCATCCACCGATGGACCGGGTCATCTGTCCATACACCCACACATCTGTCATTGACTCCTCAATCATCTAACCATGCATCTCTCTGTGTATGTACCCACCCGTCCATCCACCCATCATCCATCCATCACCCATCTCTATCCGTCCATCAATGGTGTGTCATCTATACATGTATCATCTCATTTACCACCTATCATCGATCTCTGTCCATGAATGTGTACATGCATCCACACACATCTATCATTGATCCATCTTCCTGTCTGTTCATCTGCCTAAATCATCACCCTACCTCCCATCAGTTGATCTGTCCATCTTCCTGTCTGTCCATCTGTCTGTCTATAGCATCTACATAGATCTACATATATCTCTTCACCTAAGTCCCATGTATCTGTACGTCATCTATGTGACAGGTGATTGCCTACACACTGGTTGTCTGTCAAGGACCACCGTTCCCCGTCTGGGACATGCAGTGCTGTCCGAACCATCACCCGTTATCATGAACTGCTAGAGGCTGAGGGGCTCCTGTGAAAGACCGCTGGATAGATTGACAGATAGATTGATAGACAGATCAATTGATAGGCAGATCGACACCAGACCTTGGCATGTGATGTGTGTGGGAAATTCCCTTGGCCCGTGACATGTGCACAAAATACTGCACGGTCAGGGTCCCCACCCCCAGACGTGTTGGCGGCTACCTCACCCTAGGCTGGTTTTGAGGGGACATACGTGAAGAGTGGGGGAGGTGGGGGGATTTGGGTCCTCTGTCACGTTAGCTAGTTTCAAATTACATCCACGTATTTGTGGAACAGAGCCGATTTGCACTCGTGCACGTGCGTGTGTGGGCACGTGCAGCTGACATCACCATCCAGTGTCCTCTTTCTCCATCTTAAGATTCATCTTTTAGCCTTTTATTTTCATTTTACATGTATGCGTGTGCTGCCTGCATCTGTGTAGGCGCACCCGTGTCCTGCAAACTGAGGCCTCGGCTACGGATCCTGGAACCTGCACCCCCCCCGCCGGAATCTTCCACACTACAGTTCTGGAAGGTTCGCGGTTTTCGGGGTGACAGACCACGAGGAAAGCACATTTCATGCTTGATGGCCGAGGGGACATGGTATGTGCAGAGGCTGAGGCACGAGGTCTGAGGCCACAAGGCGAGGAGCCAGGCTGCCCCGCTGGAAACCATCGCAAGACACGAAGGCTGGGAGCTTGAAAAGCATTCTTTACAAGACATGCATACACGGAACAATCAGGCTTAGAACATTCCAGGCGTCCTGTCATATACGCATGCACAGGATAACCAGATCTTTGCAAGATTCAGGGTCAGAGCGTGCCAGGCATTATTTGCAAGACGGGCCTGCAAAGACTGTCTTTACAAGGCACGCATGCTTGGAACATGCCAGAATTCATTTGCATGACCGTCAGTCTTAGAGCATATTGGCATCCTTTGCAATATACTCATGCACGGACTAAACTAGATGTTTGCAAGATTCAGGTTCAGAATATGGCAGGCATGCTTTGTAAGGCATGCACGCATGGAACGTACCAGAACATCTGCAAGACAATCAGGCTTAGAACATTCCAAGCGCCCTTTGCAATATGTGCATGCACAAAATGCACCAGACTGCTTTGTGAGATTTAGGCTCAGAGCACGCCAGGCACTTTTTTGTAATATATACATGTAAAGACATTCTTACAAGGCATGCACGCTTGGAACATGCCGGAAGTCGTTTGCAAAGACCATCAGTCTTACAGCATCCCAGGCAGTATGTGCACACACAGAATATACTAGATGTTAGCACAGTGTAGGGTCATAGCATGCAGGCATTCTTTCCAGCGTTTGCAATATATGCTTGCACGGTTTATACCAGGTCTTTGCACAATTCCATCTCAGAGCATCCCAGGCATCCTTTGCAATAGGTGCATGCTGAGTCAAGATTCGGGGCCTGAGCACACTAGGTATTGTTTGCAAGGCATGCGTGCACAGAACATGCTAGAACTTGTTTGCAAACAGCCTGAGTCTTAGAGCCTTCCAGGCGCCCTGTGCCATATATGCATGTCCAGGATACACCAGACCTTTGCAATATTCCAAGTCAAGAGCATGCTGGGCATCCTCCGCGAGACACACATGCATGGAATTGGCCAGAACTTCTTTGCAAAGACCCTGACTCTTAGAGCCTTCCAGGTGCCGTGTGCCATACACGCACGCACAGAATACACCAGATGTTTGCATGCTTCCATCTCAGAGCATGCCTGCCATCCTTTGCAATGCATGCATGCAAACACGAGATTCATGGTTCGACCAAGCCAGGCCACCTTTGCAAGACACGCAAGCACATAACGTGTCAGAAACTTGTTTGCAAAGACCAGCAGCAGTCTTAGCGCCTTCCAGGTGCCCTCTGCCATATGTGCATGTCCAGAATACACCAGACCTTTGCAGTATTCCAAGTCAAGAGCACGCTGGGCGTCCTCTGTAAGACACGCATGCATGGAACAGGCCAGACCTTCTTTGCAAAGACCCTGACTCTTAGCGCCTTCCAGGCGACCTCTGCCGGACGTGCGTGCCCAGAACCCAATGCCCAGATGTTTGCACGATTCCAGTTCGGAGCGTGCTAGGCGTCCTTTGCAAGAGGTGCATGCACAGG